CCCTGAGTATCATTGGCTCTTGTTCATATGGTATCTCTTGAAATGGTTGAACATTAACCATTTCCTTTTGGTACAATGACTCTGTGTGTTCCTTCCATCTTTTCTTGATGCATTCTGCATCACTCAATAATTTGCAAAGTAATAATATCACTGGGTAATCCAACCAACCTGGGACAAACTGGATCCCAAACACATTCTATCACAATTGTGTGGTATTCTAAATAACCCATAGCCCCACTATTATTTTTGTTACCATCATTTTCTCTCTACCCTCCTTTTGTGTAAGTGTCACTGAGTGGTTCCAACTCATAGCGACCCTGTATAAGGCTTCCAAGGAGCAGCTGATGGGTTTGAACCACTGACTTTGTGGTTATCAGTCCAGTGTTTATCCTACAGTGCCACACCAGGACTCCTTCTACCCTCCTAGAAGTTGATAGAAAGCAACTGTGGGCCAAGACCCCCAAAGGTTACTGTTGGTGTTCTCATTGAAAACTAAAAAAAATAAAAAAACGGTCTTCTCTACCACCAGAGAACGTGAGTACAGCTCCGTTGTTAGATAGTTGTTGTAAAGTGCTTGCGGGGTTATTTCTTATATACAACAAAACCGGTCCTGTGCTATCCTCCCAATCATTATGTTTGAGTCCATTGTTGCAACCACTGTGACAATCCATCTCACTGAGGGTCTTCCTCTTTTTCACTGACCCTCTACTTTACCAAAGCATGATGTCCTTTCCCCAGAGACTGTTCCCCAATAACATGTTCAAAGTATGTGGAATGAAGTCTCAACATCCTTACTTTTAAAGAGCATTCTGGCTGTACTTCTTCCTAGGTTTGTTCGTTCTACTGACAGCTGGGGATATATTCAATAATCTTCACAAACACCATAATTCAAATGTCTTAATTCTTCTGTCTTCCTTACTCACTGTCCAGCTTTCATATGCATATGAAACTATTTAAAATATCATGGCTTGGGTCATGCACAATTTAGTCCTGCAGGAGACATCTCTGCTTTTTAAGACTTTTAAAAAAGATCTTTTGCCGCGATCTGCCCAATGAACACATCGTTTGATTTCTTGACTGCTGTTTTCATGGCTGTTGACTGCAGGTCAAAGTAAAAGGAAACCTGGTAACTTCAATACTTTCTTCATCTATTATGCTATTACTTACTGGTCCAGTTGTGAAGATTTTTTATTTTGAGGTACAATCTGTACTGAAAGCTATATTATTTGATCTTCATCAGAAGTGCTTCAAGTCTTCTACGCTTTCAACAAGCAAGTATCGCAGGTTAAGAGCCCTCCTCCAATCTTGATGTTGCATTCTTCATATAGTCCAGCCTCTCATATTATTTGGTAAGCATTCAGAGAAAATAAGTATGGTGAAAAGATACAACCTTGATGTATACCTTTCCTGATTTTCAACCATACATTATCCCCTAGTTCTCTGTTCAACTGTCTCTGGGTCTATGTACAGGTTCTACATGAGCACAATTAAGTGCTCTGGAATTCCCATTCTTCACAATCCATAATGTGTTATAAACCATATAGTTGATTACCTTTGCATAGACAACAAAACACAGGTAAACTCTCTTCCTGGTATTCTCTGCTTTCAGCCAAGATCATCTGACATCAGCATTGATATTCCTCTCATTCCACGTCCTCTCTGAATCCAGTTTGAATTTTTGTCAGTTCCCAATGTTTCTGAATTATCTTCAGCAATATTTTACTTGCATATGATATTAATGATACTGCCTGACAATTTACACATTTGTTTAGATCTTGTTTTTTTGGAATGGGCACACATCTATTCTGGTTGGTGGGCCAGGTAAATAACTGTCTTCCAAATTTTTTGGCACAGACCCTAGATGTGTGCTTCCAGTGTTACCTTTGTTTGCTGAAGTCTCACAGCTGGTACTCCCTTCAATTCCTGGGGCTTGTTTTTTGGCAATACCTTTGGTGCAGCTTGGATGTCTTCCTTTAATATAATCATATGTTACCTCCTGAAATGGATGAACATTGGTCAATTCCTTTTGGTACAGTAACTCTGTGTATTATTGCATCTTCTCTTGATGCTTCTTGCATCAAAATCATTCAATATTTTGTCCATAGAATCCTTCAATATTGAAACTGTTGTTGTAGTTAAGTGTCATCAAGTCGCTTCTGACTCACAGTGGCCCTTACAGGGTTTCCAAGTAGTGGCTGGTGGGTAATATTGCAACTAGAAGCTTGAATTTTTCTTCAGTTCTTTCAACCTGAGAAATGTCAAGCATGTTTTCCTTTAGTTTTATAACTCCAAGTCTTTGAACATTTCGTTTTAACATTTTACTTTTATCTTCTTGAGCCTCCCTTTTAAATCTGTTCAGCTCTATTAACTTTATCATTTCTCCCATTCACTTTAGCTTCTCTACATTCTAAATCAAGTTTCAGAATCTCTCCTGAAATCCATTTTGGTCTTTTCTTCTTTCTTTTAATGACCTTTTGCTTTTTTCATGTATGATGTTCTTGGTATCACTCCACAACTCATCTGCTCCCTAGTCATTACTTTAGTACTGAATGCCTCAAATTCATTCTTGAGATGTTCTTTAAATTAAGGTGGGATACACTCAAAGTCATGTTTTGGTTCTCATGGAGTTGTTTTCATTTTCTTAAGCTTCAACTTAAACTTGTATATGAGCAAGTCATACCCTGGCCTTGTTCTGACTAATGATATTGAGCTTCTCCATAGTTTCTTTCCACTGATTTAGTTCCTGTGTATTCCCCATCTGGCGAGGTTCATGCATATGATCACTGCTTACAATGTTGAAAAGGTTGTTTCCAAGGAGTATCATCAGTCTTGCAAAATTTGATTAGATGATCTCTGGCATCATTCCTATCACCAGAGCCATATTTTCCAACTACTGGAAAGGAGCTCTATTACTTCCTTTCCCTCTAAGGGAAGGCACAAAATCCTGAAAAACATCCCAGGGTCCTCCAAATACTGATCAAATATTGGCCAAGTGACAAAAGTAAAAAAAAAAAAAAAAAGTCACCTCATTCCAAAATGTAACACATATTTCTTCAAACTTAGACCACTACTTTTTAAAATCTTGTCTACTGAAATTCTACCTGCCAGTACTTCTTGCAAACCCTTGTGTCACTCCTTCTGGCTTTCCATTAAATTTTCAGCTGTTTAAAGTGTATATAATTAACACATGAAAAGCCAAGATCTTTAAAAAGAGAAAACAAAGGCAGACAACATAAAAATTTCAGTACACAAAGAAGAGTTTTCAAAAGGATAGCAAATCATGATACAATACATTTCACAAACAGATGGGAGCATTTATACTTACAGTTGGTACATATTCAGATGGAAATTTGTTTGTTGTGTAGGATATCAGGAGACATGTTTTACCAACGGCACCATCGCCCACAACAACACACTTAATTGTCTGCATTGCTGAAATAGTTTTGTATCCACTTTAAATATTTCAAATTCAATGTTGATCTAAAAAAAAAAAAAAAAATGTTTAAGACAGTTGTTTTACTTCTTTATACATAGTTATATATGTTTCCTCTCCCTCTCCCTCGCCACAAGGACAAGTCAATTTTCTAAGTTTGTGATCTATGGTTATTTTTTTAAAAGTTCAAATAGCATATAATGAAAGTATGATTCATTTTACAATAAGATAAGCAACTAAAGAAGACATTCATTACTTTATGAAACCTTTTCAGTTGTATGTGCAGACACAAGCATGTGTATACATGTGTATCTGTGAGACTGTAATACAAAGGATGCCGCTTTACAGAACCACTTATTCGCCCAGCCTCAGAGCTGTAGTTAGTCAATCTATAACCAAGCAGCCTCTAAAGCATCGTCATTACCTCCCTGGAGTATATAAAAACAGAATGAGGAATGGGGAGCAGCATCAGCATCACCTCTTTTAGCACTAGGTTGACTAGCTACCTAATTCAATATGCATGACATAAAGTGATCAAAATCTATATTTTATAATGAAAATGATTGTTCTAAATCATACTGACTTATAAACAGATAAAGACTTCAGTTTCTCTGCCTCTACTCCTCCATTCTATGAAGTTATTGCTTATAAATGCACTGAAATTTTATTATATTTCATCACTTCTGATGGAGTCCTGATGTGGCGCTGTAGGATAAGCACTGGGCCACAATGTCTGTTTGAACCACAAGGTTGATAGTTCAAACTCACCAGCCGCTCCTCAGAAACCTTATACAAGGTTGGCAATTAACAACAAAAAAGAATCACTCCTGATACTTTTTTTTTTTTCTCATTTAAACATCTCTAAAATCAGAATGTGTCTTTATTAAAGGAAACCTAACAATCATTAACTGCTAACCAAAAGGTTAACGGTTCAAACCCATTCAGTAAAATTTGGCAATCTGTTTCCATAAAGATCTGTTATTGTTAGGTGCCATCAAGTCAGTTCCGACTCATAGTAATTCTGTATAGGGTTTCCAAAGTGAGTTTGAATCATTGACACTTTCAGTGAACAGTCCAGTGCTTATCCTACATTGTCACACCAGGACTCCATAAAAATTACTGTTGTCGTTAAGTGCCATCGAGTCAGTTCCAACTCACAGAGACTCTGTATAAGGTTTCTGAGAAGGGCTGGTGAGTTTGAATTGTCGAGCTTGCAGCTCAAACCAACCTTGCAGTACAGTGCTTATACTACAGCACCACACCAGGACTCCTACAGCGTAGAAACCCCTATCTAACAGCTCTACTCCATCACATGGGGTCACTATTGAGTCAAAAATCAACAGGGCACACACAGCGACAACAATCATCATCAGTCATTTCCTTCCACGTTTTGACATCTACAAAATTGGGATAAATGGCATCTTAAGATTCAAAGAAATGCTGCGTAGTTTTCAGGGTAATAAAAAAGAAACAACAAGGGCATGGAGAAATTGGAACTCTCATCTATAGCTGGTGGGAATGCAAAATGGTACAGATGCTATGGGAAAGCTGCTCAAAAAGTTAAACATAGATACTACATGGGGTTGTTCCTGTACAGGGTTCATGAGGAATGACTAGTGGACTTGAACTACCAACCTTGTGGTAGTAGTCTAGTGCTTATTCTACAGTGCCACACCAGGACTCCTACTAGACCTACCATATGAACCAGCAATGAACCAACAATCCCAATCCTAGGTCTACATTCAAAATATTCAAAGCAGAAATGCAAACAGAAAACCTCTACACCAACATTGCAGTACTAGTCTTAATAGCCAAAAGGTAGAAACTATCTAAATATCTATCAACTGGCAGAGACTTATTGGCTGCCAAACTCTTTCCTTCTCTGAATTTTCAGTCAAGCGTGTTATTGAGTCAATTCCAACTTACAGTGTCCTCAATGCACTACAGAATAGGCACTGTATCACAGGGTTTTCTTGGCTGTAATCTTGACAGAAGCAGATGGCCAGGCCTTTCTCAAGCAGAGCTGCTGGGTGAGCAGTCCAGTACTCAGTCAGTGGTCTACCAGAGTTCATAAAGCTAGGTATGTGGCTCCTAGTAAAGACTACACTTTCCAGAATCCTGTGAAACTAGATGTGACACCTGTGATCAAGTTCTGGAAAATGGGATTGGAATCATAAATGCAACTCTGGGACTAGCCTTTAAAAAGCAAAGGACAGAGAGAACAAACAAGATGGCAGATCGGGTGGACGTACAGCAGAGAGCTCCGCCAACAACAACACAGAATACCCGACCAAGCAGGCTCAGGGGATGGTCCCAGAACTCTGAACCACATATAAAGGAATACTTAGAAGGTTGGAAGGCTCACAGCTGGGGGAATTTGTGGCAGAAGCAAGAAATCTATTGCTTTCTAGTCCGGGACGCTCGGCTGCTCCAGGAGCAGCCATCTTGGGTGAGACCACATGGGGGAAAGATCAAAGCGGCCACAGACACCTGGCAGAACCGCTGAGATAAAGGTGTGGACATTCTTCTCTTTTGGTAGTTGTTCATTGGTCCCTTGCTGTCTGCACACCTCCATTCTGGTGACTACAGGGAGCCTGAGCTACTGGGCACCCCAGCCCCACCCTCGGAGGGTTCTACTACGGATGCGCACAGATCTCCTCAAAATTTAAAGAGACAGTTTCCAATTAAAACCAAACGGCCACAGCCAGCCCTGAACTGTTTCCAACTAGAAAGAAGTCCTGAACGGGGATTGTGGAGCGCGACAAGAAGACAAAAGAGGAAAAAGGCCGAAAATTAAATCCTAAGTTACATCAAAACGACCAACAGTGGTATCTTGAAACTTCTCAGGAAGAAGAGTGAAAAGGGAAGCCCATTTCCTGATCACATCTACCTGGAGGCAATCAGAAAGCATAAAAAATACCAAAATACACACCCATTTAAGTATTAAGGCCACAGATAACTCCTGAATATTCCCATAAAACAGAACCAGATGACTATATATATACATCAGCACACATCCAGAAATGAGATAAAGTGACTGAGGCAAATGAGCTGGAAGTAGACCTACACTCCATACTGGAAGATGGGCAAGCTTTGGAAATTCCGGAGAAGGAATTCAGAAAAATGATTATAAAATGTATCAAAACACTATAAAATGAAGTTGAGAAAAATAAGACATCAAGAAGTCAGGAAAGCGCTATAGAAACAATCAAATAGAATAGATACAGCACTGGAAACAATTCAAAACCTACAGAAAGAGGTCCAAACGATTAACAAGACAGTATCAGAAATGGACAATACACTGAAAGGGAAAAGGAGTAGAATTGAAGAGATAGAAGCCAGAACTAGTGAGCTAGAAGATAAATCTCTCAACACTACTAAGACAGAAGAGCAAACGCCAAAAATGATAAAAAAAAAAAAAAAAAAATCTGAAGACAGCCTAAAATTCATGTTGAACAACATGAAGAGGAATAACTTAAGAATTACTGACATTCCAGAACAGGAACAATCACACAAGTCCACATAAGATATACCTGAAGAGCTTCTGGAAGAAAAATTTCCTAACATCCTGAAAAGCAAAAATATAAAGTATTCAAGAAGCTCAATGAACCCCAGGAAGGGCAGACCCTAAAAGACAATCACCAAGACACATAAGAATCAAGCTCTCCAAATCAAAGATAAGGACAGAATCCTGAAAGCAACTAAGGAAAAGAGAAGTGTAACATACAAAGGCAAGCAAATCAGATTAAGCTGGGATCTCTCAACAGAAATCATGCAGGCAAGAAGGCAATGGGGAGACATATATAAAACCCTGAAAGAAAAAAACTGCCACCCAAGAATCCTCTACCTGGCAAAGCTGTCAATCAAATGTGATGGTGTAATCAAAACATTCCAGGACAAACGGAAGCTAAGGGATTTTGCCAAAGCCAACCTGACTATGAAAAACATCCTAAAGGAAGTTCTGTGGACTGAGAACCAACAAGAACAGACAACAGCTAGAGAATGACGTACATGGCAGCATCAACCTGAACTCAGTCAACAAAGGGAAGAGTCGAGAACAGAATAAAATTATAAGAACAGAGGATCTGGGAGGTCAGTCAATGACCAAAACAATTACAAGGTGAAAGGACATAAACATAGAGGAACAGAGATCCAGATGGTGGGAAGGTCAGGTAGGTTACAGGATAAAATAGACTGTCTTAAATGGAGGGAAGAATTAACAGAATATAAGGTAACCACAAAGGAGCTCTGGTAGCATAGTGGTTACAAATCAGGCTGTGAACCGCAAGGTCAGCAGTTCGAAACTACCAGCTGTTCCGTGGGAGAAAGATGAGGCTTTCTGCTCCCGAAAAGATTTACAAACTCAGAAACCCTGTACAGGGTCGCTATGAGTTAGAACCGACACCACAGAACATAATAACAACAACAAGGTAACCACAACACTGGGGATGGGGTGAGGGGTTTAGTTCGGGTGTTGGGGGGGGGCAACAAAAGAAGGGGGAGGAGGTGGAAGAACAAGATAGATAGGGGAACACTGAGACAGGTTTGCATGGCCTAAGTAGGACAAAGGTAAATAGTGATGCATGTTCAACCTTGGAACAACAGGGCTCTGGGATATAGGGATCTAGGCAAAGTTTGACGAGGGGAAATAATACTAAAATGCTTGACTGTCTTATGAATATTAATTTCCCTTGCCTACTATTGAAAAATAGACACTTGAGTGGGATAGAAAAGAATGTTAGGAAACATGATTACAGAAAACTTATTAAGCCCATCTTCAGCCTATAACTGACTGGAATACCTAAAAGGGCTGTTTTAGAACTTGCCCAGTGAAATAGGCCTCTTGGAAAGTTTTTGCAGAGTATAGGACCTTAGGTGGAATCTTGAGTTCCATCCAGAGGAATCTTGAGTTCCATCCAGAACCTTATGAGGTGGGACATTCCCACTAAAAAGGACAAGCAGACCAGCCTGGAACAGCTAGAGTAACAGAAGATACATCTTCAAAGAAAAACAAAAACTAAAATGTCAGCATGATTGGCTACTACAAGAATAA